TTTCATGGAAGATCGGTTGATTAGCTACATGTGGTTGATAGTTTACACGATTAAATGTTCCACAGCATTTGAAAGAAACTTCCTTCAGTGTGTTATTCCAACAAACAACAATATTTCTCAATCGAGTGGCTGTAGATTACCTCACCTTGATCCTTGGGACGAGACAATTCGACACTTGTTGGAACCACAACAGCAGTTGACTTGTGATGGAACGTCATACACCTCCTACTCAAACAACGTTCTCAAATTCGTGAAAACACAAGGTTTGATCGCAAAATGTATCCAAAGATTATACATCCTCGTGATGTTATCGATTCATGTAATTATATATTATCTTCTAGATACGTCAAAAATTAAAAAGATTACATATCGAGCCATCTTGAGACCACCAGAAACCGATGTTGGTAATCTATATGGCGCCGAGGAAACGCTAAACCTCACTGATGAAGGAAAAAAAATAARTGAAGACTTCATTGAAGTATGTGTTGGTGAAAAATTAGAATTAGTCTATATAATCTCCGTAATCTTGATCATAAAGTTTCTTTGAATTAAACCGAGACGGACGGTGAGCTTGCAATGCATGATAGATACCTGTGAATAATATACCGCCCCGCCTTGGAAACGTTTATCCCATTTCAGGCCCCTTGGGAGAAGAATTCTTTGTTTTACTGTCACCCATATTCATGTATCTTCTAAAAATTGATGCAAAACAAAGAATCCCAAGGTATGATAAATGGGAAAAAATTTAACCAAACAGAGGTAGGTTTATTATCTAGTCTAGAAGTGAGAAAGGATTCTGTCATTGCGCGCTCATCGATTCTCTTGCTTCGATACCAAGGCACGGACACCCTAGTCTAGCAATAAGAAAGGATTCTGTCTTAGCGCGCTCATCGATTCTCTTGCTTCGTTACCAAGGCACGGCTACTCTTCAAGATGACGCACATATCTTGGAAGTGAAGTGGCATCCATGTGACAACCACGTGCGCTATTTTAATTCCCAGTCTCTCGTCTGTCTTTAGGTCAACACTTACCTTCATGATGACGAAACACATAAGGAWTATCACGCTTATGCGGCACCGAAACCTAGTGTTCTTCAAAGGAAAACAAATCATCCAGACGAGGGAATTCCACTAAATATCATCATTTTAGGACTTGATGGAAATTCCAATGCTAATTTTCAGCGATTTTTACCAGACGCTTATAAATTTTTAAAGGACGACTTRAAGGCTTTTATATTTGAAGGWTTTTCGTCACTTGGGGAAGCGACCACTCCTCAGTTGACTGGACTGCTCACTGGAAGGACTCTTCAGGACAACTGCGCACAGCACGAGGCTCGACGAGGGGTTTCATATAACCCAGTTGATAATTGGCCGTTTATCTTCAAGCCTTTAGTAGATCATGGTTATGCTACGATGTTCAGCGAGGACGCACCGGCTATAGGTAAGGATGGTCGTTGTGGTGCATGGAAGCGGGGGGGGGGGGGGGGGGGGGGGGGGGGGGAGGGGGATTATTTGCTCATTGTTAGTAATAAATCACAGAACGCCTTCTCTCCTCTACTCTGTCCGCCATTTTGTATTTCGCTTTGAACCAAGTATAAAGCTAAGAGACAATAGCATGTTTGGAGTTGTATAGTCCTCGCACTTTTTAAACTGTAGCCCCTACAAATTCTTCTGTTGTCGCAGAGAAAAAGAAAAACTGCTTCGGGAGGCTGTTTTTAGCGAACATGAAAACTAGCGATGTCTGAAACTCCCATCATGCTTTGATGCACGAAAAGGCGTCGCTTAGCGTAATGGTTACCGTCTTTTGCAATAACTTTCTTTTTCACTTTTAGGTGCGTTTTCTCTTCGATTAAACGCTTTTAAAGACCAACCAACCGACCACTATGGTCGTTATTTCTGGTGGGCATTTCCMGCTGATSACATCGGTATCATGGACAACTGCATCAACTCTCAACCCCAGCATGTYGTCCAGYTWAACTATCTACGCASCTTCATGGACGCTTATCCGAAAAAATTAAAATTTGGCTTTACTTTCCTGGCAAATCTTTGTCATCAGAGCTTCAACTTTGTCAGCAGTGGAGCTCAAGATATTTATAAATTTCTACAGTCGTTTAAAGCTTCTAGTCATCTTRATAACACTATGTTGATAGTGATGGGCGATCATGGAGCCCGATTTGATGAAATAAGATCGACACTACAAGGAAAACTAGAAGAAAGACTTCCATTTTTAGCTATGGTTCTTCCAGAAACATTCCGACAAAATCATCCYAGTTTTACAAAGAATTTGGCTTCGAATACCCAGCGTATWATWTCACCATTAGATGTCCATGCCACTTTTATGCACATCTTRAAATAYCCCAATGATCCTTCAAGGTCTTCTTGGACTAAAGGAAGCAGTCTTTTTAGCGAACTTCCATCTACTAGACAGTGCAATGAYGCTTCTATACCTACTCACTTTTGCCCTTGTATTCAGTTTAAACCTATTTCTATTTCAAATACACATGTTTACATCGGAGCATTAATAACGGTACAGCACATTAACAAACTATTGACTAAGGAATCCACTACAGCACGAATGTGTCACAAGTTAGCACTTAGCGAAATTATCAGCGCTGTTCAAGCCATGCCAAACAAAAATGTGCAGCGTTTTAATGGTATAGAAGGTGGKATTGGTYTAGGTGTTGGAAAACCTATTTATAACGAAGAACAAGACATTGAATGTACTTATGAAATTCAGTTCAGGACTCGACCTAACATGGCTATCTATGAGTCAACCGTTAAGTTTGTGAATGGTAAATTCGCMGTTCACGGTGAARTAAGTCGAGTTAATCGATATGGAACCCAGTCTTACTGTGTTACGCAGACATTTCCTTATCTACGAAAGTTTTGTCTTTGCCGTCATCATTAATTATTTATAATGAAATCACARTAATAAATTAAGATATGTTTCTATTGAAAGCTTGTATTTGTATAAAATTTCTGTGCGCACCTTATTTTGTTACACAAGAGAAGCATAAAATTTGCGTAATATTAACCATGCTAAAGAAATACTTTCCAGTTTTAAATCACGTGATTCATGACGTCAGGAAGTGTCTTGSAATACGGAAGAAGGGTCAGGAATCGTTTCTCGGTGATTTAGCATTACTTGCACAAAGGAAGGCCCCATGCGTTAAGTATTCCTGAGACAAGTGTCTTGAGCGCACGACACTTGTTTCAGGATTACGTCTTTCAGAATGTAGATTTAATATAAAGGTTACTTGTAAGTGTCTCGAAGTGTTGTGTTGAGTTTAATTTCTTGTTGATGCGACCTTGTCTCGCGATACTAGGTTAACATACCGCGCCATGCAATACAATGGCGCTGTTGGCCAATGAAACGCCGGCAAGTATTCTAAAAATCACGTGAGTTATTACGTCAGAGAAAGGACCGCGCCCTCACAATTGYCCTCGATCAGTCCAAACGATACGGAAGAAACTCGAGGAACAGGGTTGGTTGAATACAATTGCTTGCGCACAGGTAGGCATTTTCTATTAGTGGCCTTATGTATTCCCGAAAAATTAGCTCACAAATCCAGCTTCGGCATCGATTTTGCTCCATCAACGTATTTTAGGATTGTTTGATCGTTTGCTAGWGTTGCGTTTTATTTGTATTCCTTGTTGTTGCACGACATTTTGTTACGCCAAAACATGATATTTATGTCTTTTTGTCTCTTGTTTCGACTACAGACGAACTTGCKTCAAGATGTCGAATTGATTTTTTGTCTATTTCAGTTCGCTAGTAGCGTGCAAGTCCGAAAACTATGATCAAAAGTCTTTATTTACACTGAGAGCAGCCTGGTCCTTCAATACGATACAACCTTCGTCACGAACGGTTTTCATGAGATTCTAACTCTCAAAATCCAATATAGTTATTTTTATCAATTTACTCATATCGAAGTTATTTCATAATTTAATGCTGAAGGCATTTTTGCATCGATTTTGTATATCAACCTACAGAAACATTCGTATCAAGCTATCGCAAACAAACCACAAATTTTCCAAGAAGCGGGCCGGAAGTGATCTTATAAAACTCATTAATATTCATAAGGCAAAACACAATAGAAATCATAGCCCATGAAGAGAGTTGTATATTACATACAGATTTCTTGTTCATTTGCATAAACTTTTACTCTGATTTTCTCAGTCAGATTGAATTTGTTTTCAAAAGTTTCTTTAAAACCTGAGCTAATTTACCTTAACGTTTCATAAGTAATATACAATATTCGCGTGCGATCTGTATGAGGATTTAAAACAGCTCGCTTTCAGCTCGCTGTTTTAAATCCTCATACAGATCGCCCGCTCATATTGTATATATTACATATATCTTTAGATTCGGGTTGACCTTGCTTAGTTAGACTCTTAGTATTATATGGTTATATACATTTTTCTCAAAATGATACAGTGTTATTTGGCAAATCTGATTGGAGATGAGGAAGAGAAAATTAAAGAAAAAATGATTTGCATGCATTTTTTTCCGGTTATAATTGTTGTTGTTTTGTTTTCTTATTTTTATTTCTCTACCACTGGAAAATATCGCGCACTTAAATGTGGTAAATTTGATGAAAATCATTTACATCAAATTTACATCATTTTGGGATCTTTTGTGCACTTCATAATATTTACATCAAATTTACAACCTTTAAAGTGGGCGATTTTTGGCAGTGTACCTCCCGCCAAAAGTATTTTGTATTTTTCTTTATCAACTAAGGAAAGTCTATAATATATTTTAAAACTAGAAGCCACAACCAAAAAAAAAACAAAAAACAAACAAACAAAAAGAAAAATTGCTAAGATACTGTTGTTGATGTGACAGAACGTTGAGAGAGAATGGCATCCACAAAACCAGTCAGTACCCAACTAGATAGAGAGGTCGAGCAACTAGAGAAAGAAGTTGAGTGCCCTATCAGTCTCGACCAGTTCAAAGACCCTCGCGTGCTCCCCTGCATGCATACCTACTGCAAACATTGTTTGGAAGATTTACGCAAAGATAATGGAACCATAAAATGTCCAGAATGCGCCGAGGTATTCCAGGTAAGTAAGTACATCGAAGAGCAATGAATTAACTTATACACCMGCATGTAATCACAGCWATTTAAAGGGGCATGGTYYACCAGCAATCAATGCGGTCGTGTTTTAGATTTTTCATGGACGAAAATGAGATGACTTTGATAATATCGATTCGCAATCCGTTTCCATCCGTCGTTTTAAACGTCCAATCTTACAGTATCTCCATATAGTATAAAGAGACAATAAAGTGTACGTTTTTGCTTATATTATCATGTGTTCTTTTTTCAAACACGAGCAAAAGCTCGAAAGGGATRCTGGTGGACCATATCCCTTTAACTCGTTTCGTTTCTTCTTTAGATAAACAGTGTCGATGCACTTAAAGTCAACTTTTGGGCGAACAGAATGATCTCATCTCTTYAGTGGGTTAAGGAAAGAGAGCGAAATGGTGACGAGGTCAAGTTAATATGCAGCAACAATGATTGTAAAGAACCGGCCCAAGTACGATGCTTCGATTGTGAGAAATACATGTGCAAGAAGTGTCTGGCAGTACACAACTACATCATGAGAGATTCAACGAAAGACCACAAAGTGATGACGTTTGACGAGATCAACAAAGAAGGATTTCCAGTCGTCGAGAAACTGCCGTACTGCGAGAAGCACAAAAGAAAGAAGCTGAAATTATTTTGCAAAGGATGCGACCAACTTATTTGTAAAGATTGTGTATATGGTGAACACAAAGGTCATGACCATCACTTAACAGCCGATATCATTAACAAGTACAAGGTAAGCCTTGAGATCAAAATTAAAAAAGCTAATGAAACAGTGAAAAAGGTGGAGCATAGTGTCAAATCAGTGGAGAAGAATGAGGTCACGCTCACTACGTCTAAATTTCAAACACACGCACGCATTGATGAAATCATCGATAAACAAATACAAGCCCTTGAAGAGAAACGGGCGAGTTTAAAAAAAGAAGAAGACTCCATGTACGAAACAAACAAAGTAAATTTCTCCACACAGAAAAGTCATCTTAAGACGCATCTGACATTTTTGAAAAGCGCCATTACATTTGCGGAAAATACGATGGCTCAAGGTAGCAACAGCGAGATACTGTGTGTGTTCAAGGACATAACATCTAGACTGTCCAAATTGTCAGAAAAGCCCGCCTTAATCGTTGAAGATAGATGGCCGCTGAAACACGTTGTACAAGTAGATGAAAAAGTCCAAAAAGCGTTAATCACCAACATTCAGGCGTTAGCAAGAGTGGTAGAGTTTGATCCTCTGGCCATTGATTTTCAACAGAGCGAGGTGGTTTGGCCACGAACAGGAGGGGGATGCTACATTCACATCAAGAATGCCATCGGCGAGTACATGGATATTGATAAACAGCGAATAGATGTTGGCTTTCCCAGAAACCTTGTATACCAAGAGAAAGGCATCTGGTATCTCAACACAGCAGAATCACCGGCTGTCAAACGTTACAGCCCCCTGAAATCATCCTATATGGTCAAAGTGGATGGAAAAAACATCAAGAATGGTAAAATTTGCCATATCCGGTTAGACCTTCACACCGACGGGCTGCAAGACGGCCCATAARTGGAAAGCATGTACTGTACATATCTCTGTGATCTCGCGGTCTGTTTTCAGTTTGTTTCTAGTATAATACTCAAGTGTTTTATACAACCGTTAAGTGCATAGGACACGCATATTAATCCTGGCCGTTCGGTCTGATAGGGTAATATTTTATATCAAATCAGTCGAATACATTTTTTTCAGAATGTGCGTTTACAATCAGTTGATTTGAATTTGCAATTGTATTTAGAAAGCCCTAAAWAATCGCTAGGGCCGGGTTGTCCAATGCCCGATTAGCGTTAATCCAGGGTTAGCCCCATGGGTTTTTCGAAGAGTTAATAGTATTCCTGGTACCAGTCCAGATTCCATATAGTTCCAAACTCCATTCTTTTTTCATTATATGACTATATAATAGCGCGTGTCTGAGAAAACACCGTTCAAAGATAAAAAAGAACAAAATATTCAATTAGTAATGGACGTGATGCATATATTGTTTGTCACGATGTTCAAAACATTGCTTGATAATGCTGACACTCAATGGTGTCGCGAAACGTAAAAGTATTAGTTGTTCTCGTTTATCTTCCAGTAACAATATATAAGTGTGCATATTTGTTTCGAGTTTTTAGTCCAAAGAAAATGTGATWGATGACGAAAGGGAAGTCGCTGCTCGATGAACCACGATCATCRAAGAATAAAGAAGTGCGCAWGTGCAAGTCAAGAATAGACTTAACTGTAGAGGTCTTTATTCAAATCCGATAATGACRAACGATTATCGATTTAATCCATTTATAAGACTAGCTGTGTGTTGTTAGTTTGAATTCAATTTGCTCTAGAAATACTATTTCAATTAAGTGTATTTCATCTTACATTAGAGGTTTACCCATACAAGAGAGACTTATCCCCCTGAATGACATCATTTGTATTAGGACCCCTTGTAAGATACAATACACATTTAAGTACAGTGATATGACGTAAGGAGGGTTCTTTATACGTTGAGGATCTTCTTGGCAGTGTAGCCCTATAAAGAACAGAAATTTAGAATTATTATTATCATATTCTTAGAATTTAGAACGAAATTTAAACACTCATATAATAGATATTGTAGTATATACACTAGTATGGTTGTAGTAAACCCATAAAGACTCATATCATAGATATTGTAGTATATACAAATAGTATGGTTGTAGCAAGTAATAGTTGAAATCCTTAAGTGGATGTGTAGTTTTGTTTCAAAGAACACTTTAAGATATTCTTGAGCATATTTGTAATGTAGACGATTTGCATATTAGGAAATAAAAATGCAATGAAGACAAATTTGTTTATGTTATTGTCTTTCTTCAAACTAAGCAGAAAAAAAAACACTGACTCTGTAAAGTGTAAGCAGAATCAAAGATTGGCTTTCATAACAACGTAAGCGTCAGCATAAGCATAAAATATAAGAAGACTAAGCATAAGAAGCAAAATAAAGACACTCATACAAAAACTAACTGTACTTCTGTTTTTTTTGCAATCTCTTATGGAAAGTTTTCTTTGCGTTTTCGCTTATGCTTGCACTTATGCTTGCGCACTAAGGAAAAACCAGGATTAACAAATATAATGACTACGAATAACCATTCGGCGTCAAATTATTAATTAACTCACCGGCAGACTGTAAACAAAGATGACAACGATGGCAATGATAAGGAGAAGGACGAGGAATCCAATAATGTACCATTTRTAGTTCTTCCATATAATGTGCTTTAAGGTTTTGAATGGTGACGTGAACCACAGGAATGACGTAGCTGGACGRCTAAATAAACAAGAACACGTGGTTTTACCCATAATACATCACTCTCACTATACGGTCGAATGCTCACGCACAGAGGAATTGATACGAGGATCTTTGGATACAAAAGGGTAATCTATTGTTTCCCCTAAGCCTTGTCTTGAGCTCGTTCGTGCGTGACTATTCAACGTTAAAGCGGGCTATTGATTCATTTTGTTGAGGTGGGTTTGGGACAATATTTCAACTCTGGGAGGAGTGGTGGGGGTAGTTTGTGATTGTGTGGGGAGGGGTGGTGGAATTTTCATACTCACTTTGGTTCGTCAAGATGTGGATGCTGGTTTGGTTCATCTCGTCCCATACCGACAGGYTTTGCGGCAGCTTCGTTTGCGTTAAGAAGCTCAAGAGTCATTTCTACTTTTCCCTGAAAACATATCACGTTACGTCATCATGACATCATAYATGTACCACCGTACGTCATCATGACAATTGTGCGTCATCACGAAATAAAACCACAGAAAGACATTTTACTTACGGTTGGTTCTTCATTTCCTTCCTGGTAGCAGGCCCACCAGCCTTGAATTGCCTTTTGCTGGAATAAGTCAACAAATTCTCCGTTTTTGCCAGGATCTCGACTGCCGCCACATCGGCCTGGAGAGCTGCATGGCTTGGGAAGTTTGATGAGGTCCAACTCGAGTTTACCTGCAAGAATAGGTGATGGGACTTGTGTTGGTGTTGTTATTATTCAWAATTTTGCTGATGATTTTGTTGTTAATGGTGAGGGCATTGTAGCAATTGTATATGATGCTGTTGATGATGCTGATACTAATGATGATAATGATGCACTTATAACAAGCTCGTCTGCATATAATAGTTTGTTRMACAACAATGCTTGAATGCAGCATAWCYTACCAAGGAAATCATCGTATGAAAACGTATCRTTTTCCCAGATCTGAACCATCAGTCGAGGTATAGTTCGCTCTTCTTTATAGTCAAGACTCCAGAAATGCTCCTGTGAACACAAGRARGAATAWAAAAWTGATTAAAAAAAATCAGTTTCAATTAAAGTTTTTTTCTGCTTTGTGCACATGTGAAATTCGTTGTTTAATTATGCCTTCAATTTACGAGTTTCTTTACGATTTCTATTATGAGTTTTTAAGCATTACAATGCCTCTTTTTAACCAACCTTTTTTCTTATGACCATCTTCTTTTCGATGGGCAGATACAAGAAAGGGAACACCATTCGCCAGTTAAAGTTCCCATCACCATCCATGGATCGATAATGAACATCAGTCTTCTGTTTGTCGTCATCTTCTCGATCCATCCACCTAGAATAATGGAGTTATAATATTGTCACAAATAGTCGTACCGAAAGGGATATGGGCGTGGCAAACACGTGCACTTACGCTTTAACGTAGATATCACTCATCTGTTCGCCTGTGATGGAGGTCTCCTCCATGATGACGTCAGCGGTATTCCAAACGATCACGCGAAGTGAATAGCTAAGGACACGAACAACATATTGTTAAAAGAATCGAATATATGATCGTTGTTTATTGCACTATTGGTTACATTATATTAGAATCGAACATATGATCTCTATGTTTAATCATACAACGATCACTACAAATTCTTACTTTTTCATAAGAATAGAATACATGATCGCTGTAAAAGTACTTATATTTYACTACAATGGAATACATGATCATAAGTGTTATTTATATAACGTACTCTTGTGGTTCACGTGCTGTGACRTCGACGGATGGTTTAAGGACTCCGCCTACATCTCTAGGGAACAAATCAACCCATAACTGGATCTTGCCCTGCGGAAAAAAATACATTAGATTTGTCCATCCATTCATTTCTTTTCTATCCATCCATTCGTTACCTGTTCAATGTTAGGTTGTACATTGCTTTTCAAGGCACGTGTTTCAACGTGTTCGGGAACCATTTCCAGCTCGTTCAGCACGTACAAAGCAAGACGTTGATGTTTGACACCAAGATCGTCATTKGGTTTATTTTCCTCCTCAAAGTCCTCTGAAAACAAAACACATGTTAATTATAATTATTAGATTATGACGCTGTTTGCAAAGGGCTACAAGTCAGCGCACTACTGCATGTGTAAACAAGCAAAAAAGAGGACTAACTCACCGAACTCATCAAGTTGGTAGACACGGTAMGCTACCACAATCCTGTCTGGTGTTCCGTCTTTAGTTCCTTTGTAGAATTTGAAGTTCTTGTCGTTTCTGTCACACCATTCCTTCAAGAGTTCCATTGGTTTCTTGTGGTCACGCCACTTGTTAGGACCAGAACTGTAAAACARTAATGTTGTTCATCTGATTAACTGATCATTCATCAATTGTTTYGTTTACTTTTCTTTATCTTATTCTTCAATTCTTCACTTTCATTAATTCATTTCAGTTTCGATCATTCATTCAATCAACACTTCATAGATTCCATCATCCTCCCATTCATTTTTCATTTCTTCCTATTTCATTATCTTTTCCCATTCCATATCTACCCATTCATTTAAAGTTCTTACTCGCAGTAGGTTTTGGGAAGACCACACTTCGCATGGTAACGAGACAGCAACCGCTGTTCAAGATCGATCGTCGTCTCACCAATCATATCGTCGCGGCTAAGAAGATCATAGTCCATAACGATGATCTTGAGATCTTTTTGTTGTGGAATAACAGCATCAAACTCAAACATCCTAAAAGAAAAGCAAGTAATAAGAATCATTTGGAATCCCTGTGGTACGATAGTGTTCGGGTACCCTGTGGTATTTTTTTTGGATTCCCTGTGTAAAGTGGTGTCTTACTTTCCAAAGATTGGGTTCAAAGTGTTGGGTTTGTAGTTGTCTTTGGTGTCAACCTTCTTTTTGCCAAGTTGTACAACGACGTACGGGTCAGCCTAGATAAGAGAACAACCTTCAGTTACGAACACTGACTTTTTAAAGACTTTCTACGTACAAAACATTACAATGAAGAATTTTAATCATCGCATACCAATCCACTAGGGTCCTGAGGTTGCAAGTCAGTTGCCTAAAACATAAACAACACCAAACGTAAAAAAAAAAACATTCAACAAAGTCCTTCAGCCAATCAGATTCACTTACACTGATGATGTAAACTCTSACGAGGCAGTTGATCGGTTCGGTTTGAGGGAGGTTGGTGAATAAGGTTTCTGGTAACTCGGCTTCGCCTCCATCGTACTCGGGCATCGGGTAAATGCGGAATGAACCCTAAAAAGGGGGTGAAAACACAAAGATAATTTTAGCATCCAAGCCCTGTTTATATCCTATGGTCATATTCTCAGGGCAGAAWAGGCCACGTTTAGGGCGGTCTGCATGAGGTCCGCAGATCTCTTGGAACGCTAGCTCGAGGCAGTTAMAAAATCATTATAATAACTAATTTTGCAAACATATCGTCAGACGATTACTGAAGAAAGATCAAAATTAAAGAGTAAGAGATGTTTTTACCTTGAATTCGCCGACCACTTTCTGTTGTTCTTCATCGTCATCAGACYTCCTCTTCTTCTTTTTGCCGCGAAACAATGGGAACGAGGCGATGACATCTTGAAATCCACCAAACTTTTCTACGCGCTCTAGTTCCTTGGGGTAAACCTAGTACAAACAAATCCATAAAACCCGCTGAACGTTTGTTCCATAATTTTTAATTTCTCTGCAAAAAAGACGCGATAAAACGCGGCAAAACAGCACGAAATCGGTGCATGAAACAAAGAAACTATCAAAACAAGCAAAACGAAACGGACGAACTACAACGATGAGGAACTTACTGTTARTTGATCATAGCCTCTTTCTCTGTACTTATCGATGTGACTGCTGGAATCCGCTTCATCGGRTGATAACAATGCCAGCAACTGAAAAGACGTAACGATAAATGAATAAATGTGTTCTGAAATCCATTAAGTATCGTTAAATATCTTTTTATCAAATTTCGGATTAATAAAGCACAATAACATTGAAAGCTGCTTGTTTATGTTACTTATTTATGCTACTGCCTGTCGTTAAAAAACCCTACTCACGCTTCCTGAGAGACGTCGTCGTTTCTATGTGGAATTACATTAATTAGAGCGTTATTACTTTAATCAAAAGTGGTTTTGAAATCAGTAGTTATTACTTTAGAGTGGAATAATCCAATAACAGCTATTAACAGCAAACTTATATGCATGCACATGCTCAGTTAATCATGCCAGCTATCCTACAATGCAGTCCTTATGTAATATATAAAATATGAGCGGGAGACGTTTATGGACATCCCGTAAGGCCCTCCCACTCAGTCAGTAAGTACATAATTTGTAAGAGAAAATTGAAGTTAAAGTCGTATGTAAATCAGGACAAATCTCTTGCTCATATAAAGATGTTTTCCATTGTGTTAACCTTATGAATTATTAATGAATTTGATAAGAAATTATCACGAGGTTAACAGGAGGAAAGGGAGAGACTTACCTTCTTTGCCTTACCATGACCAGAATGAGTCGATTCTGATTCCCCAGCAAGAGAGGCGTGGTATTTGGACCACCAATCGAACTTAATGGCGGCTTCCTGTACGGTGAAAAAACATGATATTGTAATAAACTTGACCGAGTTTTTATAACACTCGAGCAACGCTACTGTGGAACCCATCAACACTGGAACCATGTTGTCTTCTACAATTAATTTGTTTTGTAAATGCATGTGTGACTATCTGGACAATWAGAAAACTATTTCTTGGTACCGGAAGACAAATTCYCCACTACAAATCAACTTGAAAATCACCTTCGCTCTCTCTTCGGGTGTCTTCTTTGGACCTCGCTTAGGTTTCKCTTGGGGTACCTTGCTCGGGTCRCGTTTTGCGGGTCCTGGTGATGGCGGGATAGTCTGAGATGATGTCCTTGGCAATGGTCCTTGCCCTTCACCTCCAGCTCCTTCTCCAACACCAGATCCTTCGCCTTGAGATGGTGGTGGGGGTACGGGTACTAGTTGACCGTCGGTAGAGGTTAGTTGAGGGGATTGTCCTGGCRGTGCTGATCTGAGAGGCTGCTGACCTTTGGGAGCTTCAACTGAAAAAATGACAAAAGTTCAGGAGAGTAAATACTGATGGATAMGAGTAGGATCTTCTCCAATCCCTTACTAAATCAACCCCACAAAAATACTCCTTTTTCAAAGCAGATAACCACTGTTTATTTGAGATTCTCCTGCGCAAAGACTTTACCAAAAACATAACGACAACATGCGTTCTTATTAAGGGCCCAACAATGTTAAGAGTTAAGGCTAATCCTGTATTCCCAAAAGGAGATATTAATACAAAACTGAGTAGCAATAGAGGGTGCGATATGCCGTCCAAGACTCTTACAATGATTTACCTTCGATCTGAAGTGCTGACGGTGGTGGCGGTGCCTTAACGCGGAATCKATTCAAAGCTTTAATGGAGTGAACAGCCACAGTAGGTTTACGTCCAAATGTCCTGTTGTCATGGATACGTATATTCATGGGTGGCGTGTACATTTCTTCAACGGGCAGATTCTACAACAAAACCCAGAAATAATCAGCAAAACGTTTTGTTTTCATATAAAATACGAAATTAATCCAACTTACCAATATTTTCCTTGGCAAGATTGGACGTCCAAAGTTWGGAAATTTCTTGGCATCACTGAGAATATCCGATTGGATGATTTCACCACCAATCTCGAACTGCACGCTGGGATTCTTGACGCTTGCAAGTTGATATTTCTTCATGTTACGAACGCCCCAGCAAAGAACCTGAGAAAGAACATGAATCAWACAAAATRTATGTGGCTAAATATAAGGATATAGGAGGATAAGGTAAACTTGAGTCCTGCTTCCTAGCATGCTTTTGTGCAGCGGGGGCGCYCCATAGCTTTCAGGGCCACAAATGTTCTCACGTGTTTGTTGCGCGCACTGTGTCGCTTTATTAATGTCTTGAATATTTCATCACAAGAAAGATAGATAAGTACAATACCTCTACAACAGTCTTTTGCAAGACAGGTCTTACTCGGTCGCGCACGGGCAGGATTTCCCCTGTAGCGTCCCGTGCAGTAGGGGGGATGGGAAGTTGTGCCCCTTCGTCCTACAAAAGATCATAAATCAGGTTTACTCAATAGCGTTTATTGATTGAAAGACCTTGTTCATACTAACATATTTTCGCAGCGTTTTTGTTTTTTTGCAAACTTATTCGATAACACTTCAAGGAGCATAACTATTCAAGTAAATTTACTCAAGAACAGAGCAGTTTCTTCGTATATCTTACCAAGAAAAGCTCACATGCAGCCAAAATCTCGCCACAGTCATCGTCATCACCTCGTGTGATTGAATGCCACAGCAGTTTACATGGAGGGCCCTCGATACCGTTCATCTTGGGCAGCGGTTTAAACTCAGTTCGACCAAGGAAATCATCTTTGCCCTGAACACATGTACAGTTAATAACAGTAGTAAAAAAGTAAAGAAAAGTGTAAAAATGATAATAACAATGGAGGCTGAAATGAAAAACTGTTAGCATTAGTAAAATATGATTAGAATGACGTATTAGTATGTAAATGACGTCATCATTAGAATGACGCATTAGTGTGAGGATCGCATCAATTCTGGTTAATGACGTATTAGTATATAAACGCGTAAACTCTTGTCAGAATGACGTATTAGTATGCACATTACATCATCATTAGAATTAAGCATTAGTATAAGAATAAGATCAATAAGATAAATACTTGTGAGAATGACGTATTAAGTATATAAGTCGCATCAATTCATGTTAGAATGACGTATTAGCATGTAAACAACGTCATCTTTAGAATGACGTATTAGTATTTGAATCAAACGGATTCTTGTTATAGCGACGTATCAGTACGTGCATAGTAACATGGTTAGAATGACGTATTTGATCATTAGATCGATCGTTAGTAATAATGACGTAATGATTAGAATGATGACGTWATAGTATGTGAATGACGTCATAACGTTAGAAGTTAGAAATCAAGCCTCGAYCAGTTTACGATCAAAAAACAAATATACCGGAAGTTTCATGTGTATGTTTGACATTCGATGCTGGCCCTGTCAATGAAAAACACATGAAATTATAATATATCCTGAGTAATAATGGAAGAAAAAGTTTAAAATAACAGGCAGAATCAGTTGGTACTTATATATTTGCGGTTAATCAAGTTTAGAGTTAAATAAATTGATGAAGTTATTTCTGTCATTATAATGGGTTATGCTTAATCAGATAGTCATTTAGTTGTTAAGGAATCCCATGGGTTCTCTAATGGAAAGCTTCAACTAAATTAGCAGTTATAGCTACAGTTAGACTGTTATTCGATGTTTTAATTATTCTATTGATGTAAAATCATTAAAAATGCTTTAAATTATTTGTTGGCTAGAGMGGCTTTCCTATGTCCATGAAAGACGTCGCACTCATTGTTCCATATCACTAKTAATAATTAGGCATTTTCTTCCACGATCGATGGAAGACCTGTCCAAGCTATTACAAGTTAAGCGTGGTTAAATAAGGCTCAAACCACATTCGACAGAAAACACTGAAATGGCCAAATCAACATGACATGCGGCGCATTTTCAATAGTTTCCAAATGCTGCTTGTTTTAATGGTTAAAAGTTTAACATATATGCGCACCATCGAACCAATGTTTTTGATCTGATGCTGGGCCTGGAGAAAGAAAGAAATTTAGGTTATTATTTCTGAGAAAAATGTTTAGGTTTACGACTGCATGAGAATGACAAGGAAAAATGTCACGTGTCCATTGTAGTTTATAGTACGCATGCGTAAGAATGACGTCATCGTGCTGCAGACGAACATCTTGTTTTTGTAAAGTTTAATGAATGGCGGAAAAATAATTAAAAATCTGTTGCTGGAATACAAAAATGATTAGTATATACATAATTATATAATTTTTACATGTAGAACTGATTTAAACTTATTGAGTGATTATAATGATGCAGGTTGTTTCAGGATTATTAAGGTATTTGAATAAAAATGAACAAAGCTATACGGTTTTTTGTTCTCTTTCTGTTTGTTTTCGTATGTTTCGCTGTCTTTGTTTATCAAATATATCACTAAGTGTTAGCTTGCATTCTTTACCACGTTCAAATTAAAGTACGCAATGGCCACTTATCTCTGTAAAGAATTAATCCATATGTCATTATACACTAATACTTCCTTACCATTTGATCTTTGTCAAATAGTTCCATGATGACTGAAGGCGGGTGTCGCTGAATGTTCTCAAGTGAGTCGTAGATCTCGACATCAAAGATCAGAGTCTGGTCCCATGTGGGACAGAGTGTTTTCATTTTTGTTTCAGTGACCTGGGACTGGTTRGCGAACGCCACGCGCACGAATGGGTCTATGGGTAGTCACGTGATAAAGTCAACGATAAATGACTCAAATGGAGTGAAGATATTGAACCCGTGAATCAAAATATAATTTCACGACGCAATAACGAAATTGACAAAAGAAAACGATGGAAGTATAGAATTCTAAGGTGTAAACTACAAACATCAAGAGTGACAGGTGTCAATTATTTTATTTACCGTTCATTCCAGAGTCGTCACTTGCAATGAGGTCACGTGCCTGGTAGACATAAGCCCAAAGCTGGAATTTGTGAGGTCCTGAAATCGGCGGTCAAAGTTAATTTTTCAGTAATCAACATCATCAACAACATCATCAACAATGGTATTGATTTAAGTCATTCCCAATGAAAATAAAGTTTTCTCTAGTCTTTACTTACTATCAAACGATACAAACATCCGAGGAGACAAGATCAAAGCACTCTCAGCGTCCTTGCTTTTAAGCTGTACACGAAGCAATGGCGGAAGTTTTGTTTTCTTGGGGTCAAGTTTGCCWCCGCCTTGAGGCACAAGTTTYCTCATYAACCTTCTTCGTCTTACGAAGTCCATCTTTCTTTCTTTGGCATGGAATTTCATGGTRAAAATTGGMGCATATTCCCATCCTTCCACGAGAAGTTTCTGGAAGTGTTCCTAAACGAAAAAGAAATAAAATGAAAATATGTTTATATACATAGAAGTAACGAGAATAAAATGGATGACATGATGTCACACCTGTTTCTTCGAGCTTTCTGGGTTCTTGAGATCCCTTCTTCGTACCCATCGTCTGCGTCTACTCAGGTAGTATGCCTTCTGTACAGGGCTGTAGACACCATACGATATATCTACCGTGTATTCCCAGCCCTCTCCATCAACTGCACGGTTGGCGTCCACCTGCCAYTGGGTCACCCACTGCCATCCAGCAGGGATTTGAACATTTTCCTTGGAATCGCAGTCGTCACCACTCTGTTGCATGAGAGAATCGACCAGACAATTATTAAACAAATAAATAAATTTATCAATCAATAAGTCAGGCAGTCAGTCAATTAATCAGTTCGAAACGTCAGTAAGTTGTTTCACCTACGTTACTTTATTATATTTTAACACAACTGTTCTTTAGAAACATCGAGCAGCTCACACTAGTTTACCRCTAGTTTCCACCAATCAATGAGTCCGTCAATCAACCAGAGCACCAATCAATCACACAATCAATAAGTTAATTAATATTTAGTCAGTTAGTCGGCAAGTTACATCAGTCAAACCATCCATTATTCAATARGTAATACTTACGACATCAGTCCAGGGTACTTTAGCTTGCTTCCACTCTCCGCCAGGAAAGTTTCGATCCTGTTGTTCATAAATTTCCTCGATGAAGATCTTTCTTCCAGCATCTTTGTCAAACATGATACTAAGAAAAACTGACTATTAGAAACACGATAATCACTGTCTTTTATAAAGGCAGAGTCCTAGGATGATAATGAAGTGATGGGAAATGAGGAAGAAATAAAATGAGAAAGGAGAAAAGAAGAGAATTAGAAGAACGAAGGAATAGGAAGGGAGAAAACAAGGGAAAGAAGTTTCAACATACCTCAATTCGGGTTTCTTTTCCCAATCTCCAAGGAAGTTCCATCCTGGAGGTTCTACGAACTTTTCGAGAGGAAGCTCGAGCTCTCCATCAGCACTGGAGAAGCCAGGACGAGGACATCCTTTCTTGAACCACTTGGGTCCAATCTTCATTTCATTCTCATACTGCCAGAAAKAACAAGAAATGATAACCAAWCTGGAAGCCAAATTAAGAGATGTGAAAGTGCTGTACTTACGCTTTCAGCGTAGACAACAAACTCGCCCTCGCTCTTGCCTCGCGCTGTCCAGTCGTCCTGGTCCTTTTCAAGCCCAAGCCACAGCTCAACACGAACGAGTGCTGGGATTTCTGGGTGTTCTTTGATGTCACTGCCTTTCTTACCAGGATACTTGACGGGAAGATAGAACGTGTTTGAATGAATGAATAAAAAATAAATGAATGAATCGGCAAACGAATCAACTGAATAAAAGGAGGAAGGAAGGAAGGAAGGAAGGAAGGAAGGAAGGAAGGAAGGAAGGAAGGAAGGAAGCGAGGGAGGGAGAAAGCGAGGGAGGTCGAAAGAAAGGGAGCGAAGGAAGGAAGAAAGGAAGGTGGGAAGGAAGGAAGGAAGGAAGGAAGGAAGGAAGGAAGGAAAGAAGGAAAGGGAGGAAGAGATAGGAAGCGATGAAAGGAAAGAAGGAATTTTGGAAGGACGAACAAGAAGTCTTTCTCACTTTCAATTTCAATTCCACTGGGCATCCACAGAGCGGTCCACGTGCTTCAGGATTRGAGAAATGCATGACTTGATAAGCTGGTATACGATAGTAAGCAATCCTATCTGAACCACTGATCATCCATATGATTACATCGGGCATGCTGTTCTGAGGCTGTGTAGAGATTAAATGAAGTAATGAGAGGGTATTTGCTGTTCATGATACCTTGTAGATAAATAATAGATGGCTATATAAATAATAGATGAGGGTATGTAGAGATTAAATGAAGTAATGAGAGGGTTATATAACTGGCACCCCTAGGACTTAATGACTATGTCTATTTTATGGATTTCTTACGAAAAATTCCCGGCAAACAAAATCAGGGCAGTTGTGTAAGTCAAGAACAATCCACAGTCACTCCTATTCAAATTCGACTAGAACATTTTCTCTCGAAAACGATGGATAGCTAGGTACCTCTATTGCAAGATCCTGKAGTCTCTGAAGGAACCCCTCAAGTTCTCCTACAATTGCATCTCGGTCTATCTCAAGTTCCTCGATTTCTACTTGGGGTGCTGGCTCGACTGGTGCCTCGCCTGGTTGYTGTTGTACTGGTGGTGGTGGTGGTGGTGGAGGGTCGATCTGGTGTTTCAGTTCGGTTGCTTCTATTGAGATTAGTTTCTAAAAAAGAAAAAAAAATGATTCTTATACACTTTTTGTTGCATTTTATT